GTTACCTCACAGCTCTTAAGGCGGCTATTATCAGAAAGACAAGAAATAGCAAGTGTTGGTGAGACGGTGGAGAAAATTGTGCACTGTTAGATGGAATATAAATTGGTGCAGTCATTATGAAAACAGTGTAGAAGTTTCTCAAAAAATTTAAAAAAATAGAACTATTATATGACTAATATATACACATAAATTCTGTAGAATTTATGTGTATATATTCAAAGGAAATAAAATTACAATCTCAAAGTGATATCTGTACCCCAATGTTTATTGTAGCATTATTCACAATAGTTGAAAGGTGTAAATAATCTAAGTTTCCATCAATGGATGAATAGGTAAATAGTCAAAGAAGATGTATATATAGAAAATATATATGTTTACACACACACACACACACACACACATACACACACACACACAATGAAATATTATTCAGCCATAAAAAAGGAAATCCCACCTTTCGAGACAACATGGATGGACCTTGGCATTACGCTAAGTGAAACGATTGAGAAAGAAAAAGACAACTACTGCATATTCTCACTTATATGTGGACTAAAAAAAGCCAAATTCATAGACATAGAAAGTCGAATGGTGGTTGCCAGGGGCTGGGGAGGAGAGGAAATGGGGAGATGTCACTCAAAGGATTTAAATTCTCAGATATAAGATGAATAAGATCTGGAGACTTAATGCACAGCATGGTGACTATAATTAACCAATACTATATTATATACTTGAAAGCTGTTAAGAGAGTAAATCTTACATGTTGTTACCATACACACACACATACACACAAAATCTTGATTTTATGAAAGGGTGGAGGAGTTAACTAATCTGGTTGTCAATCATTTTGCAATATATACATGTATCTAATTATCACATTGTACATCTTAAATTTATATATATTATACATCAATAATATCTCAATAGAGCCAGGAAAAAAGAATTAAAAGGAACCTTAACTATCATGTGGTTCTCTCATTTGGGAAATATGAAAACCAAAGAGGCTAAATAATTTTCTATGGTCAAATAATGAAAGGCAATAGTAAAACCCAGCTCTCTTGAATCCTACTTTAGCGTTCTTTATTAAGGCTGTAAAAATCTTAGCATTACATAAGGATTCCTAAGAGGATATAACTCAACATTCCATCAAGCACAAAAAGCTCCTCTATCAGTTCACTAGCGACTAATATCCACTCTCAATATTTCCAATCACAGGGAAATAACTACTGATACGTTTCTACTTACACATCGCTTAGTTTCTAAAAGGACCTTTGTGAGTCCACTTCCTATTAAACCAAAATGACACTCTTAAATTTTTTGCTAATGCATGCAGAGTTGATGAAATGGTGATCTAGTGAGAGTCTTTGTCCTTATTAATAAAAATTGTAAGTAGAAAGTAAAATGAGAAGCTTCATTACCTCTTATAAAGACATATCCAGGGTTAGATAAGACTAATTGCTATTTCTTACATTGAGCAAAACCTTCTTTGTAATATTTACTCACTTGTTTTTGCTTTATAGATTTATGCTCACAGTGTCTTATTTCACTTTCCCATGACAAATTTTCGCATATTTGAGAAATGTTGCCCTGCATCCTCTAAGAATTTTTTTCAGAGTAAACAGCACCAGAATCATCATTAATTATCCATAACATATGATACCAAGAACACTTCCAACAACTCACATATATGTATGTCACTCTTAAAATATGGTGGTTCCCACAGGGGCAAGTGGTCTGACCAGCACAGAGTATAGTGAGCCTCTTGTCTTTCATGTCTTGTAAACTGGAGTTTTCTTAATATAGATTGATTGCACTAAAGATAGACTCTCTTGGCTAAAGCTGCTAGTAGTTTGCTCTTTAAGTAGATTTAAGTAAGTTAAAATTGGAAATAACTGTTATGTTTTAACAAATTCCCACATAAATTATTTCCTCTTATTTCTTGTTCAGTCGAGTATTCAATAGATGCTTGAAATTCATACTATAATGTGGAATTCTAAGTTTTATGATTTAACCTCATATGTTGTCACTGGTAATGCTGTGTGGTTAGAGGTCTTTGGCTTAATTTCCTAAATCAGTGGGCCACTCTTGAATAAAGAACATATTATTTTATTAGTATTAAATTCCTTGGAAAAGAAACTTTGAAAACAAATGTTCTTTTTGAAGGCTTAACGGTAACGTCAAAAAACAATAGGACACTATGCATTTTGACCTACGTTTCATGTGTTTTTGCCAGGATAAGCTTTCTCTGGGAGAAACTCTCAGCTGAAGGTTGAAACTGCTCTGAGCTTGTTTTTCACACATAGCCATTGGCTGAATCTAATCATTTGTATCTAAAGTTCTGAGAACAGACTCTCCAAGGCTGGTGATCAGCATTGAAAGAGATCTTAGATATATCAGTAAGTCTCTACCCGAAACTTCAATTAATTTCTTCCACATAAAGTCAGCATTTTGCTGAGTCAAAATGTGTTAATCCATTTCATCTATTTTAATTAGATTAATCTTTATACATGTTATTTTAAAGGTATTATTTTGAAAGAACAAAAAATAATTATGTATAACAGATACATGTTTAGGCAAAACCAAACTAGACAATGCAAAGCACAAAAACAGAAGAACGTGAGAAAATGATCTGATTCTATCAATGCCACGAGACTCTCATCAAGCTATTTGCTGGTGATCTAAAAATGGGCATGGGGTTTTCTAAGACATCTAACTTAGTGCGTGATGCAGCCTAAAGCTGCCATCAAGGTTCTCATCTATAAGACCAGCAGATTAAACTAATTTTCATGTTAACTGTGCCCTCTATTCTCATTTTATGTGGCTCATTAACTTGTCTTGAGTAGTTCTATCCATGTATCAATGAGCTAGGTAAAGACTCTCAGCATGAACTTAAATTTCAAAATGGATGTGACTGAAGATGTGGCTGTCATTTTCATATAGCAGCAATTCTGTGAAATTTGATTACCTCAGGTTGCACTTTATTCATCTACTCCCTTAAAACAGAAACTGTAGATTTGTCTATCCACACTGTAGTGCTGAGTGTGAGATGAGAGGAGAGTGAGAATTCATAAGAAGGGGCAGGAAGTAGTGATGAAAGAGACACAGTCTTACTTTATTGTGACTTAAGAAAATAAAGTTTGGGTTTGTAATACAAAAAGCTATATGCTATTATATAAATATGATTGTTCAAAGTTTTTAAAATATTTCTAAGGATAATAATTTGGACTCTAGAAAGATGTTAATAATCTACATGATATTATATGTATGTATATATATATATACACTCATTCTAGCAATATAGAAACTATAGAAAGACCCATAATGAAAATAAATTATTCAGACATGATTCTAAGGCCTAACTCTTACAGTGTTCTGCTGTGCATAAATATAGGGGCAGTATATTAACATATTATAAGGTATATACATATATATGTGTATATACATACACAAATATTTTAATGTCACTGAAATTATGCATGTCCTTTCAGATTAAAAAAATATATATTGAAACTAGTATGTGGCAATTTTGAATATGTCCGCAAATTCTTTGACATTGCTCTCCTTGTCTTGAAGTTTGTCTTGTCTTCATAACTCATTATGACAATCAATTTATGTGTCAACTTCTTCAGGTTACCTAATCTAGGTATGCTGTGTAGGGGTTTTGTAAATGTAAAATCCATACGTGTTTGACTTTAAATTGGGGAGATCATCCTAGATAAACAGGGTGAACTTGATTCAATCAGTTGGGGGGCCTTAAGAGCAGGTCTAAAGCTTCTTGAGAAAGGTCTGCCTGTATGCAACTGCTTCAGTAATATCTTAAAGTTTCAGTAATATCTTGTTTTTCCTGATGGCCTACCCTATGGTTCTCAAACTTGCCTACACAGCCCCTAAAATTATGTAAGCCAATACTTTTTGTGAGGGTTCAGAGCGAGCCATCCCAAGATATGCCTCAGTGGCATGCAGATTATTTTGAGCTAAAGGCAGCTGAGACCTGTGAGCTTAAGAGAAACTTGTTTCGTGACTTTTTACCTATCTATGGCAGGGCAAACTAGTAATTACTGAACATATACTCTCCCTGCAGTTACCTTCTGAACTCCTAAGGTACGTTACCTTATCCCTAGCTCAGAATGTCTTACATACCTCAATTTCTCTTTGTGACTTTGAACCCTTCATGTATGTGGGATCTCTGACCCATGTATGTGGGGTTCCTGTATTCATAAAATTAAATTTGATTTTCTCTTCTCAATCTGTCTCTTGTGGCTGTGATTATTTGGCCAGCTAAAAGAAGCAGAAGAGAGAAATGGGAATTTTTCTCTTTCCACTGGTTCTGTTTCTATGGTTGAGCCCTGATTAATACACTCACTAATGTGGCACAAGAGATTATGTATAACTCTCAAGGCTATGTCTTAAAAGGTGATGCAGCTTCTGCCTCCCTCTCTTTCACATATTTGCCTTGAAAACCAACCATGTCTCTGTGATGAAATGCAAGTAACATAGTTCCATTCCGTCCTATAGCAATAGATAAGGGCCAGATGACTTGACATCATTGTCTGCCAGACAATTGAGAGTCAGACAGCCTTCAAAATGACTCTAGACCTACCACCACTGACTACAACTGCATGAGAAATATGAGAGCAAGAACCACCTAGCCAAGCCCAATCAACCTCCAGAACTGTAAGAGATAATAAAAATAAATGTTATTTTTGCACTACTGTTTGGGATAGCTATTCATCCAGCAGTTAGAGTTACAGACCTTGGTGGCTTTGTAATCTCTAAATTAGAACTACATTTTCGAAATGTCCTTCCTTGCATGATTTTCAATTCATCTGACAAAGCATATGACACAGGGGCAGCAGACTTATAAACAATGCTTAACCAAATTCCCACGATCATATAAGATTGAATCTCTCCAATGAGACCAATGTGTCTCTCATAGCTGGTCTGATTTTCTAATCAAGCAATAACTGATACAAAGGTCCATATTCTGAAATCCATCATCTTACCTGAGATGTCTGCTTTCAGTGGCTCCCAGTCTCACACATGTCTCAATTCATTAACTTCTTTCTGCATTGTGAAATTCAGATGTGAAATAGACATTTCCCCTGGATTTTTCTCATAGTACCTGTATTTGTAGAACAATTCATTTAAGTTCTCAGTCAATGTAGAGGTTTTACATTATAAATATGAGACATTCCTGGTATAAGTCCTTTGGTCAATTCTCTTTTGGTATTTTTCACTGTTCATCTGTCTTTGCAGGTTCCAACCTCCAGGTACTTTGCTCATCTCCAGATTTATTCCAAGATTTACTCCAAGACTGTGCTCACTTGTCCATATTTTTCTATTTTCTGGACACTTCTTGCCCTTTGCTCCCCAACATATCTATTTTATATTTCAGAATCATTGTCTCCCCTTAGTAGTTGTATCCAAAGTATTCTAAAAGTGTCCAAAACAAAAGCTTATCTATTCTGGGTGTCATATTTAGTAGCTTAGAGCCTTGAAATTTAAATCTGTCTCAATCCCTTACCAGTTTTTAGAGATTCTAATTTTAGTGGTTTAATGGTAGGCCCAAGAGTCTGATTTTTTAACATTGCTCCGGGTGATTCTTATGATTACACAAGTTTGAAAAATACAAAAATAGAAGAATGCATGCATCTTTTAAAAATTGAAAGTCTATTCCTTTACTAAATTGTTATTGCATATCTACTATGTATCGGACATTGTTCTAAATGTTGGTAATGTGGTAATTAACTAAACAAACTCTTTGCTCTCATTCAGCTTATACTCTAGTGGGTGTGGGTGAATATGCATAGGCAATAAAATATATAACATATATTATATCAAATGGGGATCATTTCTATAGAGAAAATAAAAGCAGAGTAAGGGTGATAATGATAGTGAGTTTGATATTTTATGTAGGGTGATCTTAGGAGATTTCAACAATAAAGACATATTTGTGCAGAGACTTGAAAACATATTTGAATGTGGGAACCTGCCATACATCTGTCTGACTGAAGAGCATTCCAGGTTAACTGAACAACAAGAATGTCCTAAAACAAGAATGACTAAAACTGAGTGAATAAAGAGAAGGATAGCAAAAGCCAAGGGTTACTATAGTATGGAGAGGCAGGGTATTTCAACAATAAAGACATATTTGTGCAGAGACTTGAAAACATATTTGAATGTGGGAACCTGCCATACATCTGTCTGACTGAAGAGCATTCCAGGTTAACTGAACAACAAGAATGTCCTAAAACAAGAATGACTAAAACTGAGTGAATAAAGAGAAGGATAGCAAAAGCCAAGGGTTACTATAGTATGGAGAGGCATGTCCCTGCACATCATGCAGGGACATTTTAATGGTATTTACTTGTATTCTGAGCTAGAAAGTCAAGAGTTTTGAACCCAAAAAGTATGATATAACATATTTAAGATCAGATCATAAAGTTAAGAATCAAAGGTGGAAGCAAGGAAGAAAAACATTCTGCATTCTCATCAGTTCTAAAATTATATATATTTAGGCAATAAGTAAATGTAAGCTCAATGTAAGGAAGAATGTTTTTATGTTGTGTTCATTGTCACCATCTTCAGAAACGAAGATAGATTGACATATAATAAAGGCTCAATAAATATTTTCTATGTATTGGTTTATATTCAGAACAATCAATCTTGGCCAAGATGGACAGAAACATATTTTATAAAATGATTTCAAGTTTTGAAGTGCTAAGAGTTGTTCATAGCATTATAATGTAATAACATTTATTTTTAATAATAAATGTTGCTCTTTATATTATTTATTGTTCTTTTAATATCTATGGAATCAATGATGATGTCTCTTTCTTTATTTATGATATTGGTAATGCTTATCTTATTACTTTTTTTCTTGGTTAACCTGACTAAAGGCTGACCTATTTTATTGATCTTTTCAAAAAGCCAGCTTTTTGTTTTGTAGATTTCCTCTTCCATATTGATTTCCTGTTTTCAATTTCATTAATTTCTGCCATGATTGTTATTTCTTCTGCTTCTTTTCTGCTTAAACTGCTCTTCTTTATATAGTTTCGTTAAATAAAAGTTTAGGTTATTAAGTTAGGAAGATTTTAGATCCTTCTTCTTATTAAATAAATGTATTTAATGTTATAAATTTGCCTTTAATCACTGTTATCACTGCACCTCATATGTTTTATTTTTATTTTTATTTAGTTTATTTTTAGATTTCTTTAGAGCTATCTTCTTTGACCTATGTGTTGTGTAGAATTGCATTGTTTAATTCTTAAATATTTCTGAATTTTCCAGCTATTTTCAGCCAGTTATTAATTTCTAGTTTAATTCCATTGTAGTCTGGGAACATGGTGTGATTTGTATTCTTTACATTTGTTCAAGTTTATTAATCTCCATGAATATTCCATATGAGCTTGAGAAGAATGTGTATTTGGCTGTTAGATGAAGTATTCTATAAATGTCAGTTAGATCCAGTTGATTAATGGTGCTGCTTTTCAGTTCAACTATATTCTTGTTGATTTTCTACATGCTAATCTATCCATTACTGAATTAGGTGTGTTGAAGTCTCCAACTATAATAGTCACATAGCGTGAAATTTTATGTTAAACTTTCTAGGAGCTGGGCTATGTTTACTATTTACTGTAGCTGTAGCTGCCAGAGGTTTCCAATTGATCTAGTGTCCTAGTTTTTAATCTCCCATTTTCCTTGGGTCTCTTTAAGAGCTCCTTAAATTGTCTTTGTCCCTCAGCAATTTCTGCCATAATCCACTGTTGATGTAGGGTAATGTGTTGGGGATGGGAGCATTATATAATCGTATTATTAATTATTAGTCTTTTAGAGGGCCTGTGTCCCTGGACTTTGACCACTACAAATAATCTTAACTTTTTTTCTCACTTGAGTAAGACAGAAAGGTTAGAGGAAGCTGAAGTTGGGTAATTCCTAATAATTCCTGGAGGTAGAATCCACAGAAGTTTAAAGACTTTCCTCTAATAGTTACTTCCAGAAATTCTCACTGTCATGCTAGCCCTTACTCAGCCTCCAGTAACGTGTCAAAATTATCAATACAGTATTACTACTATTTTGTGGTTCCGGTATCTTCTGCTCCAGGTAAACATGTGTCCACTGGGATTCTCTACATTTGCTTATTTGTCTCTTTCCAAATTTTAGTATGGTGGTTTGCTTTGCGACCTCAATTCTCTGATGGATCCATGAAAATATTTGATTTTCTGTTTCTTCAGATTTTGTCTTGAGAATGGGAATAATGACTTCCAAGCTCTTTACATGTTAGAAGTGCAACTGAGGAATTCCAAGTGTTACAACCATGTAAATATCAGAGGATGGTAGTGCAATGTTCAGGAAAACATGACCATTAAAGTAACAAGAATAAATTTATTATCATTTGCCATTAAAACATGAGAACATAATCAATTAAGATGTATATAAGTGTCTTGATTAGAGTTTTATTTTTAATGAGTTAATAGGTTCCAATGCTAAGAAGTGGATGTTTTTTGCTATTTCTATCCAGGCTTTGCCCTACCACTAGGAGACACAAATACAGTATGAGACAGGGAATCTGTCCATATTTAGAATTTTAGAGTCAGATAACAGGATGAATGCCTATAGCATGAACACTACAGTGACTGACCCAGACTTTCATTTTGTGACCCTGCTTCTATTCTTGCCAACCTAGAAAAAGGATTATAAACCAGTGAATGACAAAGAAGGGCCATTGTAATAGCAGCTAACTTTTATTATGTGGTATATAGATGGTTTTTTCCTTTCTTTCTTTCTTTCTTTTTTTTTTGAAAGGCCTTTCCTTCTTCCTTATACTCATAGCAATGTGGCCTAAAAAATAGCTGAACTGCTCTGGGCGTCTGTTTGAAAGTTAGGGCTAAAAGTAGAATGTGCCGTTTCGCAACGATAACAATTAGAGTTTTTTTCCTCAAATAACCTCACAAACAAGATGGTTTACAACTGGCATACTGTGACCTAGTTTCAATTGGTTTCATAAGAATATTCACAATAAAAATGTAGTCACCCAAACTCAGCATGCTAAGCAGATAGAAACCGATCCTGGGTTCTTCTACAACCTTGCTGATTCATTTCAGGGGAGTGTTGTCCTCCAGGCACTCAAGAGATATTCTTAAATTCTATTCTATTTATTTTGTTTTTTGTTCTCTTGCTCCTTATGAAGGGAGATTTCCAAGATTAAAATTTGCTGCAAAATTCAAGTGTTTATTAGCTGAGAATATATTTCCTTAACTAGTTTCTTCTAAGGATTTGGTCAAAAGTTCTAAAGAAATTCTAGTTCATTTTCCATGTATTTTCACATCATTGATATGGGCAAAATTTTGTGGCTCTCTAAAAGGGTAGACAAATGCAAAGAATACTTCCCAGAGAGTCAAAGAATGCATATTATAAACTCACTACAATATAGTTTTGTTACCAGAAATATTTCATCCCAGTTTATGTTTTCTTAATTTGTTAAAAAAGCAAATGATACAAACTTATTTGAGATAAGATGTTAAAATATAGAAGATTAAACACATTTTAATATCTACATTTCATTGTTTCTGTGTCTTGAAATTTCATCAGTGTTATTTTAAACTATATACCTACTTTCTTCTCACATACACATTTGCACATACCCTGATTCATTTGGCTTTGTTTTTCCGATTATCTAATTACAAAATGAGCTACTCCCTAGCTGACTGGATTCCAAAATATCTATAAATTTGTTTTACTAATGCAGAATTTTCAACTGGAAATCATGCTTTTTCCTGTTATCTTAACAAATGAAAAATTATATTTTCTATCAAATGATATGTTTCTCAGGACTAATATAGACATCATACAACCAGGAACTATTTTCAAACTGAATGAAGAACATTGGCCCTCAACCATTGTGGGAAATGCTGTAATAATTAATGATTGTTGAGTAAGGTGATTGTTATTTTAGTAACTATACTGGGACTTTTTCTTATACAGAACTTGTTGTATTTGAGTATGTCATAAAAATATTTATTCTGGTGTTTCCATTGATGGAAAAATATATCTTTTTAAATTGTCTTTAGAAACAATGTTATTTTCATTAATGTTATGGATTCATTCACCCCTAGGTACCAC